TTCGAAAATCAAGATGGCGCTCGGAAATGATAAAGAAGTAAAAATGGAGGTTGAAAACCCGTCTACTAATCAAACAGAAGAAGAGAACCGTGTAGATCCATTTACTCTGGAAAGTATCCTTGAATGAGTATGGAAATTACTTCACACTGCATTTTTTTGGTCACTAAAACATGAGTCTTTGATATTTTTTGTCCACGAGGGTCGGCTCTTAAGTTAAGCTTACCAATATTTTACTACATTTAGCCTAAGCTCACAGTTTCTGGCTTTAGTTTTACGTTATCCTTGTCTATATATGAATTGTTTTGGACTACAATCTTTGGGGTTAATTCATTCACTAGGAGTGGTATTACAAAACTGTCGTCATTTTGAATAAGAGCGTAAAGTACACGTCAGTTCTGTGTTTTCATACGGTTTCTCTTCTGCTCGAACCATTAACTAATTCATATAGTGTGGTGTGTCCTTAAACTAAGGAATCTTAGTTTATTTAATCATGAAGTAAAAGCTAGTTAATGTATTTACGTTGATATAATAGCAGTAACAATAATATTTTTTAGTATTTATCGTCATTTGCGGTAATTATTAGACTTATGAGAATATGAATGATAATTAAGTTATTTAGTATTTTATTATGAAATTATTAACCCTTAATAATATTAAGTCTTGCCTCTTATAAAAGAAAATCAGAGTACACACGGTTTACGTCATGGTGATTATCAGAGATACAGGTATCAATTAACTCTCTAAATTTATTATCCAACAGCATTTTTTAATATTTCACTTCTATTTAAAGGCAATATTGTACAAGGAGGTTAAGACGTCTTTATAAGACGCTTCATTTTCAACAAGGTTCAAGGAACAACATCAAACCAAAGAAAGTGACTGAAAATGTTGTAAAAGACGTCAAGTAAGTGTTCTTTACATCTGAAATATTTCACAATAATGACGATGAGCTCATGAAAGTGATGAATTGAGTAAGGACAATAGCTGAACATGAAATGGTGATGATGATGACAAAAGTAATGATATTGATGATTATGATTGTGGTTGTGTTGGGAATTTCTGTTATGATATCATCATAACCAAGGGTCTATCCTTCAATAACAAAAGTACCTATCTAAAAATCAGTGAATCTAATGTCAAGAATCTTTTTCTAGGTTTTTACACATACCTCTGATAGATGCTGAAAGAGCATGGAGCCATGCTATGGAATTAAAGCTTCTTGCTAACACAGAACCAAGGAAAAGATTTCATTTGATCAGAAGATTACGTAATGCTGCCGGYCATGCTGACAGCTTAGAAAAGCTCTGTCAAGGAAGTCTTTGTGATGCAAGAACAAAACTAGAAGCTCAGGTATGTTATCACAAWTGTCCTTYACAGATTTGCTAGGTGTGCTTTTTATTTGAGATGTAAGGTGTATAAGAGCTTCAAGGTTTCCACAGTTTGTACATCCAATATCCCTTATTTATCCCTTCTAGTTATTAACGGTTTGGACTGTAATATTCAGCCTGTAATGGTTCTTTATTCATAGGCTTATGCATCGTACATGAAGGGGAGTGTAAGTTTTGAGCTTCAGAAGTGGAAGGAAGCTTTAGAGTTGTTTGGGAGAGCAAGGTAAATYGAAAATCTAACAGAAACATTACCTGCATTATGACTGATAATAATTGTTGTCTGTGATATATGTAATACTTTGAAAACTATACCCAGTGAACCCAAGATTAAGCTAATATTTTGAATTCATATTCCTGTTGAACCAAGGATGGCACTGTGTTTTACTACATTTTGCATTAAAATTCATCTGTGTTCATTGTTTCTATTGGTAAGTAATGTGATTTGTAATCTTTATTTGTATTTTACAAGGACCATCTATGAAAAGCTTGCTGGTGCTTTCTCAGAAGAGCACAGGAATATGTATCTTCAAAGAGTTGAGGAAATCACTCCTAATATCAGATACTGTGCTTACAATCTTGGTGAAGGTGGCACAGACATCAATGATTTGATGCAGATGAGAATGAGCTCAACTGGTGGTGTCCAAGACCCAGTTCTTGCAGCCAAGATTGATGTAAGTATACACRTTATAGTAGAAGAAAGAAATGTGTTTGATCAGAAAGTGAAATAAATGAAAACTAAAATCTTTTTAGAAAAGAAATSACCTTATTGAGGGATTCTGACTTAAGGAATAAGACCAGCTTTTGTTATACAAAATGTGAAACATTTTTGAATTTCATCCTGCAGGAAGTTTTGGCACAGACTCGAGAGAAAGAAGCAGAGTCCATGACAGAAGTGACATGGAGAGGTCGGTCCATACCTGTCAAGAATGAGAAAGTGCGTGCATTTATTCTGCATGCACAACAGATTGCAAGAGAGCTGGACAGTGCAGAGGATGCGGACAGTAAGATGAGTATGTATGAGGAATTGTTGATGGAAAGCAAGGATGCTTTGCAAGCTGTGAAAGATGAACTCAAGGGAGATACAGTAAGATATTTTAGATTTCACATAAAATGATGAAAGATATCATTGYTTTCATTGTTTGATTATCTGAAAAAAAATCTTGSTTCAGTCTTCAGGAAAACCAAGGTCTCAGAAGAGTGAGACACAGGTAGCCCAACTGCAGTCTCTTCAGTCCTACATTACCTATGTAAAACTCAGTAAAACTACTGATAGAAACTTGCTGATGGTTGAAGCTATGAAAAAACAACTTCCTGCAAGTCTGCAAGATTCTAGTGAGGCTGTTGAGCCTGATCCAACTAAGAAACTGACTAAACCAGAAGACCTTGTCAGAATCTATGACATTATCTTACAGGTAAATCACTATTCCTGTGGAATATTTGTCTACTGTCGCATTACTTGTTATTCATAGTTTTTTCATTTAACTATTCATCCATCCATCCAATCATTTATTAATCGTTCCATTCATCCATATATCATCGATCTTGTTACTCTTCATCCATTCATTTTTCTCATTTTCATCAATGCATTTTACCTTTTCTGTTTCGCTAAGTCTATTCTTTTATGCTAAATGAATTCCTCATCTTTAGACCCTGTCAGACATGGGTGAATTACCTGGCGTTGATGATGATATCGAGATGAGTAAAGACATAAGTGCACAAATACTGCACTTCAAAGCATACAGGTATGACAGTCTACAGGTATTGTGATCAAGTAATAAAGTATACATTGTGAAATACAAGGTAACGAGCCACATACAACCCGGCCAACACAATTGACACGAATTTTGGAATCTYTTCAGGTGTTTTTACATCGCGAAGTCCTATTTGCAGGCCAAGAAATGGCGTGAGGCAGCCATGTTGTACGACCGCGTGACAAGTCACGCAGAGTCTGCCATGGAACATTTTCAGGAAAGTCAAGACTATCAATCAAAGGTACGGTGACTTGATCGTAATCGCAAGCAGACGTAATTTAAACATTAGGGTTGTCAGTTTGAGAATTAATTGACATAAAAGCYTACATGAAATGGTAATCTGRYGATTGCTTGCCGTTTTCTTGRAGTTCTGTTCTGTCATGCAGAAAGGCGAAGTGATGATTACACGCATCGCAATCATATTCGTAATATTGTAATCATAGTCATAAGTGTTCCCCAAGAAAATGACAACAAAATGAGGACTTTATGATAATGGAATACCTATTCACTTCGTATAAATAGTCCTACGGAAATTGCTCTAAAAATCAATTATGATTGACATATTGATGACGGTCATTTGCTGACGTTGTTGGTAAAACAAAAGTACCTGAGGATTAAGTCTTGAGCACGAATTTATCACAATAGGCCTTTTGCAGCTAGGGGTCACGTGACCACACCTATCTTAAATCAATTGACTATCACAAAATGATGTTCAGAAATGGAAAGAGGGGATCAAAATAAGTAAGAAGACAAATTTTCAAGTCTCAACACTAAATACTTCAAAAATGACAGCAAATATAAAATCATTTTTTTTTCTAAAGAAACATATGCAAAAACAGAGCTGGAGAGCAAGCCTTGCTCTCCAGCTCTATTTTCCCATACATTTCTTTAGAAAAATAAATATTTTACATTTGCTGTCATTTTTTAAGTATTTGGAGTTTAGACTTGAGACTTGGCTATTTTACCTACATAAACCTGCTCTGTCCATTTCTGAACATAATTTTTTGATAACTGATTGATTTAAGGTAGGTGTGGTCACGTGACCCCCAGCTGCAAAAGGCCTATTTATGCCAATAAGAATCTTGTAAAATCACAAATCTAAGATTTTGGCTTAATTAAGGGGGTTGAAGTTTTCTTGCTATTTTTGATCGTTGTGATGATTATCATGTCAGCGTGCGATCAAGGAGATTGTCATCAATCTAATGCCATCTGCTATTTTTTTAAAGCATAATTTTGCCTTTCAAATCAGCTGTCCATTGTTTTTTTAACAAGAAAATTTTGTCTTTTACAAAAAACAGCATTGAGTAACCCAAAGGAAGACTCGATTTAATGGTTTTAGAGCTGAATCTTAAAGCACTGTCGAGCAATTATGTTATTTCATCCCTCTTGCATTAATCCTCTTAGACTTTCAGTCAATTTTGCCGTCTAACTYTGTAGGACCACTCAAAAACCCTATTTCAGTAGCCATAATGCATCCTTCTTTCTATTATATTTGCTTCTTTTCAACATATCGTTCTTTTCATTAGTTTAAAAAAACATTTACACACTTTAAATTAAATGTCAGTACTTTTAAGTCGAATTTATCATGTTGTTTACACTTGGGGTTGATGTTTTAGCAACGTTTTACAAAGATGCAGGAACTTGTGTCATTGTCAAGAGGCGCAAAGTGTTCAGCGCATGCTTCGTGTATCTTAGGCAAGTACCATTGACGTGCAATTTGTCTTTTCTTTCGTGTTTTATGGGGGATTTTTTCTTGTTTTGACTGAAATTTTGCGCTTTTTTATCTTTTGCCTTGTCACTTTAAAAAGAGTGTTGTGCGTGTTTTTTTTTTTCACATTTCTTTGTTTTACTTTTATTTTTCTTTAAGTTTTGTTTGTTTGTTTATGTATTTCTTTGTATATCACTTTTTTTCCTTTTCTCGTTCATTTATATGMCGTTTTTACTGATTATTTTAAATTATTACTAACAGAGGGAGAGACAGTCGTAGATGACATGAGCGCCATTACTCTGCACGATAAAGTGAGTGGCAAAATCACATTTTTTTTCTTTATCTTTATTTTTAARATTTCCTTACGTTTTATCTTTGATTTTGTCTCAGCCTTTATCAGATCGACTTGATGTTTACCACAAAGACCAGTCACTTACMAACAAAAAACCAAATGTCACAACCTTCCCTCCCGAATTCCAACCAATACCGTGTAAGCCGTTGTTCTTTGACTTGGCTCTCAATCAAGTCGAGTTCCCTTCYTTAGAAGAACGAGTGGAGGCGAAAAAGGCAACAGGAATCACTGGATATTTCAAAGGCTGGCTCTGGGGTGGCTCAAGCTAACGGATATTATCTTCTATTTTCCTATGAATATCAACTAATCTAGAGATGAAGAAATTTGCGATCGTGCAGAGACTGACGCATCAAAATCATACCGACTGTGAAATTGGTCGTCTCTATCACTTTTATCCCATAGGAAAAAGAATAAATTAGTCTATTTTACAGCTATTTTACCATTATCAACGTCGTAAGGACGTTGATTTTACTCGTTAGGTTTGTGAAGTCAGTAAATCCAAAAAGAGACAATTTTAAGGACATACTTCTTGTAATATATTCCTATCATAGAGAATATATTCATACGGTGAATAAAGCAATCGTTCAAAAAAATCCTTATTGTAATCCTTTAAATCGGTAGAACTTCAAACTATTCTGTTGAGTTAATCAAAATATTGACTTTAGGGGATAAAACTTTTGCTGCTATTAGTCGCAATACAAGTAAACAGGTTAGATGGTTTTGTATTCTAATGTTTGCGGCGTTTTTCAAAACAAAATGGGAGTGACAATTCGGAAATGTCGATTGGCACGAAAAAAAAACATTTTAATAAAAGGCTATTTTTCAGACCAAGTTGAAAATACGGACCAAAAAGACTTTAAATGAATAYAAAACATAAAAACAGCTGGAAAAAGTGTTTTAAAGCACTTAATTGGTGCTTAAAAATGTGATAAGCTACTGGAAGAAATTAGAAAGATGAATGCAACATTTCATGTGTTTTTAGTTTTTATGGTAAAGATGTCAATCATCTAATTCATTGGCTGCTAACATTTATCTTACATCGCCATGTTTAACTGATCCGTTAGAGATTGAACTCCATAACAACGGGAATTGTTTAAGCGTGATTATGTAAGGATTTTAATCAGTTCGGTCGTGAAAGAAAGCAATGTCAAAAAAGATCGTGTTCAGTAATGTATAGCGGTGTGTTTTCTCTTCGCCGACCCCATTATCAATTTTGATAAATATARCTAAATGGTGGTGTTATTTTACGACAGATAAATAGCGTCTAAAATGCGTCATAGCTATCTCGCTTACTGGAAAAGACTACCCAGAATGATTTCAAGTAACTCGTATCAAACATTTCTATTCAAGAATGGTCGCCAATAAAAACACTCAGATTTGTAGAATAAACTACGGCTGAAAGTGCGCAATCAAGCGACAGGTGAATCCTGGCAAATCATATGGCAACTCTAAATATTGTGACTACTCGATCTTCGAGACTAGAAATTCAAATTACCAAAGTCTTTTCATCTGCGCTGAAGTCGGTATTTCTAAGATAAGAACCATACTTCGTTTTACGGTCACGAAGTTTCATCCAGACTTCCATGAATTATATTTTCACCCAAAATAAGATTTTCGCCAGTTTCAGTTAATTAAGCACCTTCATCWTGTTGCAACTTTTAAATTAACTTACTTGCTTGAAAAGGGTGGTAAAAATTGTTCCCGGCACACTTTCTACATGAAAATCATTGGAATCCACTAACTACACTTTTTATTTTGCAGATTTGATTATTTTGACAATCTCAAATCCTATATTTCGGATAAAAATTGTATTCTTCCAATTTCCTCATCAGGTTTAATCCTGATAACTTAGTTGACTTTGGCCTCCAGTGAAGCATTTTCAATGATCGGAATATTGCCATCACGTCAGTYTTTCAAGACACCAGGCGAATTAAGTCTCTCTCCATAATATGCAAATTCATCAGCTGTAGGCTACATTCACATGACTGTAATTGTTCTTACTTAATTTTCTTATTTTCGTAACACAATCGACAGCGGTAATGGGGMTGAAGCTATAGTGACTATATGKTGTAAAAATCTGACCATGTTCTAAGGGGTGTAGAATGGAACTGTGTTCACCGGTAGATTTCTTTAGGATATTGTTGAATAGACACGAGGACACAACACTTTTCGACGTCATTGAACTTAGCTAGACGGAAACGAGCAGAAATTTCACAAAACACATTAAATTCAAGGATTAATTTATCGAGTTCTAAAGAAACCTCACTAAAAGGGCRAATTGTAACCTTTCAYAAAGGACTGGMAGGTAGGTGTATAACGGTCAGTACCGGCGATTRCGATATCATCCAGTCAAACCGCTCAAMACCGAAACAAAAAACACACTTAACCGCCGTGCGTAAATACAACAGCATCAAGACACATCAGAAGTCGTCAAGCGATATTTTAAACTGAGAAAATTACCGAACACTAGTCCATCTCGACTATTTTAACCATGGAAAAAATGGCGTTGGCGCTAGTTGTACTGATGTGTGGTTTTGCCGCTATCTTGGTGATATTTGGGTGYTTTTTAACCTACTATGCATGTTGGAATTATTTTCATAAAAAGAACAGGAAGAAATATCAAAAGAAACAGCAGGAAAAAGACCTGGATGATGTTTCAGCAGGCGCAGAAAGCAATAAGTTATTTGCCAACGAAAACGAAGAGAAGGACAAAAAGAAAAGCGTCTTTGTTTATTTTACTGCAAGCGGGCTACGCGACAAGATGGACAAACAAGAAGAGCACATCGAGCTTAACGCYGTTTGACTGCTATTTTAAAAATTTTGTAAATAATGACATTGAGAATACACAGAAAACATTGCCTTTCGATACCATGAAGCCAACAAATTTGAAAACTACGTGTGCTACGGGTTGAATCATGGTRGTATTGGACTGACAGTCGGCGCGCGATGACAGCGAAGACTACGGGCAGTCGGACCTGAAAATAGCATTTTGTTTTTCCCGTTTGAGTTTAGTTTTCTGGTCAATTATCAGCCTGATTTAGTGTAGATGTTGTTACTATATTGTGACGATAACATGATACATAAATGAAAAAAGCAGTTATTTCGTTGGTTRTACAAGTGACGCTTTTATTTGAATGATCTGCTTTTTCACTTGATGTTAAAGAACATGTTTAGCGAATAAACATTTKTATGAAAAGAAGACAGTTTGAGATATCGGTTTTTATCGCAGTATTTTATTGAATCATATCTTTTTTAGTGAACCAACGCACTTCAGAGTTAATGTCAAATAGATGCAGGAGGTTATTGTTGACTGTAAGATGTTTATATTAAAATCTAATCTAAAATGATTCTTTTATGCAAATAAACCATATTTTTCAGTTCATCATGCAATTGTAACAAGCTATGTGACTGCTTGTCAAACCGAGATACRGCAGCAATATATTTTCGTGCGCCATAACGCCTCAGGCACAGCGATCGATTTCCAGAAGTCACTTCAAGCCCAAGTAGTTATAATGTTTTTCTCTTTTTAGCTCAATAGAGGTGAGCTTCTAACTGCGTCTGCTATATCTACTTCGCAATTTATCATACCGAAAGAGTACTATCCGACAATTTGCCACGTTATGATATATTAATAGTTTTATCGTTTAGAAACGTTATCCACCAACTGCCGCCAGCGTTTTCCCTCGTTATATTAAGGACCATGGAGCAGTAACGTACTACAGCTACGAAGGAAACATGGTCAATTTGAATTGAGGGGATTATTGCTCATCAGACCTGTATATTCCATGCTTTCTTCCATGACTTTACCAGACCGAAGGTCGTCTTTAGAATTATCTCAATATGAGAAATTAAAAAAGACAAGCTTTTCATAATTAAAAATAAGAAACGAAAAAGTTTTGATTCCAGTAAAATATATCGTCGGTGCAGGTGGAAGAAAAGAATGGCAAACGTCCAGCTTAATTGAATGTAGAATAAAACTTACTAAGACACATCAAAGGTAAATTGTGAGACCCTGATTTAGTTTTGATCAATCTTCATATATTACTCTTTCATTTACAGACGTTATTCCTTAGTCTTCACTTTGAATAAAARTCAGGCTTTTATAGAAGACAACCGATGTCAATCATGTACGTGCGGGATACAATGCCAACGCGCCGATTTTCATATATAAATGAAAACGTTTCGGGCTTGTTTGAGTGTTCTCCAACACAGATAAACCACGACCATGATACTTTATTGCATTAGCAAGATATGTAATTCAGTATAAAACGCGCGTAAGAAAAGAAACCAGATTATATTTTTGAGGCAGATATGTCAAGGATTATTTTTCGCATCTCTTGCGAAATTGAATCAAAATTACAGCTGCACATATCTTCTGAAGCAAAAGAAATGTTAGAATAAAATAAAAAAAAGGAAAATAACAATAAAAAAAGAAATTCTATTTGATTTGAGAATTTAGCGCGGTTTAGGAATATATTCTCCTCATTTTAAATCAGGCAAAAACTATTAATTTCGATGATAAGAATGGCAATCAATATGATAACTATGTTATTGTCTCRTCGAAGATATCACAAAAAGATAGATGCTCTACTATATGTGCACCTGTTTAGGAAAGGTTCTTGTTGAAAAATGGTGGATGCACGACCGAAAGTTATTGTGGGCCCATAGACTCACCACCGACAGTAACTTTTGGTCGTGCAGTCGTAATCTCTCTAAAAGGGAACCTATGTTTGTTTAAAACATGCCTTTAGGGTTCTTTGCTTGTCTAAACTATCTAAAACATTTGTTATAAACGGAGACTGCACGAAAGTCTGAAATAAAATTATGTCGGTCACAGACAAACGGCGCCTCCTTACAAAGTTCATAAAAAGCTCAAACTGAGACGAATTTCGTGGCTTACTATTTTGGTTATTATACAGCAGCTGTTAACCGTTATCTTAACAAGTCTTGCTTCGACAGGAGAAATATAATTCAAACTAATTATCTAATCCGAATAAAAACAACAGGACCAGGCGGAGCGCGAGGCAATGAAGATGGGGCGCCACACTTTGCCATTCATCATTTYAAATTAATCGCTGATATCGGTAATCATTCTCTAATCTCTAAATAAAACCTTGCATTCATTCAAATATCATTTCATTTTCCGTACAGCGTTGATATTTTTATTTCTAGACATGAAGTCATAAACTTGCGTAGGCTGTCTTCTTGAAGTTACTTCAAAAGAGGAAGAAGATATAATGGCTTAAGTAAAAACCAATGAAACAAAACCAGAAAACCTTAAAAAAAGAATATGATAAAAATAAACATTTTGAATGACGTTAAATTGGGTCAGCTGTTTTAGTCCACGCTCCGGCGTCCATTGTTCCGCACAAAAGATCARCCAATCAAAAGACTCTGTGTGTCTTAGCTCGTGCCAGTCTTCTACGGCCTTGTATTCTTGGCGGCTAGGGGTGAAGGGGAAAAATGGCGCATAGTTTTAATATAGTTAAGTTTATTATAGCTGTTATTTTACTTATAGTTCTTGTACAGATTCTCGTATTTCTTCATTTTTCTTCTATACATTGGCACGATGACCATCCCATACGAGGCAACGACCATATAAAGTCTTCAAATGAGAAATTGCTCTCGCACGTGAGTCAAATATTTGGCTCGAAAATCAAGGTAAAATTATCTATTTTTGTTTTATAACTGACGACTTCCGGCASATAAATCAATCAATGTTTTTAGGGATGTGAATATGATGGGACGGTCTCCTTAATCATAGCCTTGAGAAAATTATTATAGTTTTATTTAAAATCCAMTGGGTGCTGTGTTTTTTAAATTTCAGAAAGTTTTAATCTTAAYTTTTTCAAGCTGAGGAACGTCATTTGTCTATATCCATATATTTGGCATTAGTGTAAAGACCTTCAGCTGAATTTATTCTCTCGTAGGGTTCCTTTTYATTATGGATCCGTTGGCCATTTTTTCATTTGCTTACGTAGCTCATASAATCTCTAAATTATTTACCAGAATCAAACTGGTAACTTGAACTTATTGACGTCTTAGCTTTACAGTAAAAAAATCACTGTTATCTTTTAAAAGGAAAACCTCTAGAGGTTTTTTTACTAAAAATAGTAAACTTGAGGGGTATTTTAATTAGTTTTACTAAATTACATTTTACTGCAATCGAGTGCTCTTAAAAGCTATCAGAATAGTAATGAGAAATGTAATTATCGTGATTTGCATGTCTGTCATCACATTTTATTTARTTAACATTGTAATATATACATATTTATTGCCATTTAATGATCTATTTCCACTTGAGAGTAGTTCTAGGAAGAGTATTATGCAGTAGATTTTTATTTGAGTTAGGAGTCTAATATTGAAGATAACAATTGGCTCATTTTGTGATTGATATTACCTCAAATTCAACAAAATCTGARAGCTTGACAAAGTTTTAATTAARYTGTAACCACCCTTTTCCATTTAATAGGCAAAGAGAACACTTCATGGTTCACACAGAGATCTATCGCCGCCAGTACTAGATATGCCATATAAGGCACCATGTAAACCTAAGCATAAAGACGCTAATTCTGCTTTAAAAAGAGTCAAGTCTGAGTCATGTAGAAGAGAAATATTGAAGACAGCCTGTCTAGCTGAATCTCAAAAGTTATATAAAACTCATATTAGGAGATCTTGTCCATTGCACAARTCAGGGAAATCTCCTGCTAAATCTGTAACTGATACAAAGCCTATACCCCGTGGTCCTCCTATCAGGATTGCCTATATAATGACTGTACATGGAAGATCTATAAGACAAGTCAAGAGATTATTTAAAGCTATTTATCACAATCATCACTATTTTTATTTTCATGTGGATAAGGTGAGTCTTATTTGAAAAATGACTGATTGATTTGGTGTTGTAATTTTTAAGAAACGGGCAAAAATCTCTCTAAACAAATCTCTCTAATGGGAACAGAAATGCTCATGGGGATTAGATTAAATCTTTGCTTGCCTGTAACTCAAATATTAATATATTTTTTACATTTACAGAGGTCTGATTATCTTAGACGTGAGATTAAAAAACTCATAAAAGACTTCCCAAATGCTGCCTTAGCACCATGGAGTCTGTCAACTATATGGGGAGGAGCAACGTTGTTACAAATGCTTCTTAAATGCATGGAAGACTTGATAAATAAAGAGAATTGGAAATGGGACTTTTTTATCAATATTAGTGGATCAGACTACCCCATCAAGTAAGAATACAACTTACTTATTGTATTGATAGTTATTTTGAGATCTAAGGATGACCTCTCTACCTATGTCTGTWGCCATTTAGCTACAAACTATGCCATACCATAGTCAATATATATATTTGTTGTTGCTAGCCATGCTTATCACCTTAGTTATTTCATATATTTGTTTAACAGAGACAATGATGCCCTGACCAAGTTTTTAAGAGGACACAGGGAACAAAACTTCTTAAAACCCCATGGGAGAGATTTGAATAGGTGAGATGAATAATAACCAGTTCYAAGCATAACCACAGGAACCCCAACTACATTATATTGTTAGATAACAGATTTTGAAATTGTGAATTGTGAAATTTAGATGGACTTCTTATGACCTTGTACTTTTCGATATGTTTATGTTACAGGCCTAGACTATTTTGGTTAATGTARTTTCATGTGTGGTACAACCTCCTATAGTTAAGACCACTATCGTCTTAGTTTTGACTGGAATTCGCCTGGAAACAGGATATYGGATTAGGTTTAGAATTATAAAAGGACTGACTTTTTTTTGAGCGTACCCTTAAAATATATTGACACAGGAAGCCCATTCATACTGGTTTAACTCTCAACAGATTTATTAAAAAGCAAGGCATAGATAGAACGTTTATACAGTGTGATGATCATATGTGGAGACTTGGCAATCGTCAGTTACCCCCTGACATTGAGATAGACGGAGGTAGTGACTGGATTGCTTTGAACAGGAAATTCTGTCATTATCTTGTGACTTCAACGGACTCCCTGGTGACAGGTCTCAAACATATGTATAAATACACCCTATTGCCAGCTGAGGTAAGGAAGTTGTTTTTTATACACAACGTACTTTCAATGAATATTCATGTTTCTCGTTTTTCTTAGTCGTTTTTCCACACCGTACTGCGTAATGGACCTTTATGTAAGAAATGGATATCAACTAATCTACGTCTCACCAACTGGAAGAGAAAGCTAGGATGCCGATGTCARTACAAACATATCGTAGACTGGTGTGGATGTTCACCAAATGATTTCAAACCAGAGGACATGCCTAGAATAAAGGTAAGATCACCTCATAGTTTACGTAA